GTATTAAAATAATGTCACTCTAATATTATTATTATTATTTAATCTTTTTTATTTTTTTATTAATAGCCATGGAAGAACCGTTGGGCGCAGAAAACGGCACTGTTGGAATTCTGGTCAGTTCTGCGGTGGAGGTTAATTTGGGAGGAAAACTGCTCAAACCTGCAGGTAGGAAAATGTTGCAAATTGTGGGATTTCTAATACAAACAACATTAGTAGCCATGTTGTTATTTTAATCGTTTGTTTCCTGACTCCTCATCACTCCCTGTGTTCTCCTCCTCTTCTCCCCCTAGTGGTCGGAGTGAAGCTGGACTTGGAGGCCTGGGTCGACAAGTTCAAGATCTTGGCCAGTAACGTGTCCGACAGTCGACAGGGTTCCCACAAGGTTCCGCACATGTTACTGTTCACGTCCTGTCATGTTGAGTCGACCTGTAGAAAAGTGACGTGGGGTTTTAATAGAAAACCTTTTTGTTTCTAGTGTGGACCGTCCAGGAGCTGTGAGATGGACTGTGAGGTCAACACCGACGTAAGAACTGTTGGTTTATGTCGTCTTTGTCGTACAATTAACAACCAACCAGCGATTTAACCCGTGGTCAAAGTTACAACAGAGGGGGAAAAAAACCAATCATTTGTTTTCAGTGTGTTAAAAACAACTTTTCTAGTTAAAGGTTTTATTTTGTGTTTGGTGAAAGACTAAAGTGAACCCCTGTCTGCTGCCTTCAGGACCTGCTCTGCTATCTGATTGACGACGGTGGATTTCTGGTCATGTCCAATCAAAGAGATCACTGGAAAAAGGTACGTGACTTTGTGTAGTACTTGGTTTACTTGTATTTTACCATAATTGAGAACGCGGTCAGGGTTTAAACGTCCAGCTGTGAGACGGTCCTGGTTGATCCTCACCCACAGTACAGGAGCTCCGTCCTTCAGTCCGTTTCTTTTCCTCTCTTCTTCCTCCTCCTCCACAGATCGGCCTTTTCTTCGGCGACGTGGACCCTTACCTGATGCACGCTCTCTACAACAACTCCGTTTTCGTTCGTCGTCAGTCTTTTCGTTTTCAGTCTGCGTGTGAACCCGTGAGCAGCAGCCACACGGGCGCCGCTCACAGAGGAATCTTTGTGGTGAGAGAACGACGACGATCTGGGAATCATGAAGTAATGAGACTTTTTAATGATCTATTTTTTAACTTTAACAATGAATGTTCTCCTCTGTTCTGCTCCTGCAGCCGTCCATCGCTGACGTCCTCAGTCTGGCCTGGTGGACGACCACAGTGGCCTGGTGAGAGGCGTTCACTGACACTAAGATTGTGTGACATTTTACCCCAGCAGCTGCCCCCGTGTCCACGACTATTTTCAGCTAAATGTTACCGTAGCTGAGACATTTGTTTGTCCTCATTTAAACTTTGTTCTTCGACATCTTTCAGGTCTGCAGTTCAGCAGCTGCTGTTAAGACTGACGTACAACAGCTGGATGTACAGAGGTGAGGAGAAAAGATGGAATAAAGAAACGCTGCTGGAGGTTTGGTGGTTGAATAAACTTCACTTCACCATTCCTGTCCATAAATACAGATACATGCAGTAGTATAATATAATACAGCAAATTTAGTAAAGGTTTAATAGATATTTATGTAAAATAAATAACCAATTTATTTGCATTTTTCTTAGTTCAGTAATCACAGGCACCCACACTCCTGTCCAGATGGTGGCAGTAGTGCACCGTAAATGTGTTTGCCAGCAGCTTAGGCGTCTGACTTGAAGCTGTAGTGAACAGTGTTCAGACAACGGTTAAAACAGCCGAAATAAAGACGTGGTTGTTTGGAAACTGAGCAGCAGAGACTTGTAAGTTAATATATTTATTTATTTACTCCACACAGCGTTTCTAGTCAGAGGTTTGACCCCAATACAAAGCGCTGATGCTAGTTAGCTTTAGCCGACGTTAGCCAAACATTATCAACGACGGTCATGGTGTAGAAGGCATGGTGTGGGGAAGGCAGATGGAAATTTAAGGTAAATATAGATTTTTAAAAAGTTTTTTGAGTTCATATTGATTTTTTAATGCAGTTCAGATCCAGAATTAATTGAAATGTAAAACCTTTTATTTTGTCAAATCTTATTTCATAAGAATTAACTTTATTAAGATACAAAAATTCTTCCTGAGTATTAAAATAATGTCACTCTAATATTATTATTATTATTTAATCTTTTTTATTTTTTTATTAATAGCCATGGAAGAACCGTTGGGCGCAGAAAACGGCACTGTTGGAATTCTGGTCAGTTCTGCGGTGGAGGTTAATTTGGGAGGAAAACTGCTCAAACCTGCAGGTAGGAAAATGTTGCAAATTGTGGGATTTCTAATACAAACAACATTAGTAGCCATGTTGTTATTTTAATCGTTTGTTTCCTGACTCCTCATCACTCCCTGTGTTCTCCTCCTCTTCTCCCCCTAGTGGTCGGAGTGAAGCTGGACTTGGAGGCCTGGGTCGACAAGTTCAAGATCTTGGCCAGTAACGTGTCCGACAGTCGACAGGGTTCCCACAAGGTTCCGCACATGTTACTGTTCACGTCCTGTCATGTTGAGTCGACCTGTAGAAAAGTGACGCGGTGTTTTAATAGAAACCCTTTTTGTTTCTAGTGTGGACCGTCCAGGAGCTGTGAGATGGACTGTGAGGTCAACACCGACGTAAGAACTGTTGGTTTATGTCGTCTCTGTCGTACAATTAACAACCAACCAGCGATTTAACCAGCGTGGTCAAAGTTACAACAGAGGGGGAAAAAAACCAATCATTTGTTTTCAGTGTGTTAAAAACAACTTTTCTAGTTAAAGGTTTTATTTTGTGTTTGGTGAAAGACTAAAGTGAACCCCTGTCTGCTGCCTTCAGGACCTGCTCTGCTATCTGATTGACGACGGTGGATTTCTGGTCATGTCCAATCAAAGAGATCACTGGAAAAAGGTACGTGACTTTGTGTAGTACTTAGTTTACTTGTATTTTACCATAATTGAGAAGGCGGTCAGGGTTTAAACGTCTCTTCTTCCTCCTCCTCCACAGATCGGCCTTTTCTTCGGCGACGTGGACCCTTACCTGATGCACGCTCTCTACAACAACTCAGTTTTCGTTCGTCGTCAGTCTTTTCGTTTTCAGTCCGCGTGTGAACCTGTGAGCAGCAGCCCCACGGGCGCCGCTCACAGAGGAATCTTTGTGGTGAGAGAACGACGACGATCTGGGAATCATGAAGTAATGAGACTTTTTAATGATCTATTTTTTAACTTTAACAATGAATGTTCTCCTCTGTTCTGCTCCTGCAGCCGTCCATCGCTGACGTCCTCAGTCTGGCCTGGTGGACGACCACAGTGGCCTGGTGAGAGGCGTTCACTGACACTAAGATTGTGTGACATTTTACCCCAGCAGCTGCCCCCGTGTCCACGACTATTTTCAGCTAAATGTTACCGTAGCTGAGACATTTGTTTGTCCTCATTTAAACTTTGTTCTTCGACATCTTTCAGGTCTGCAGTTCAGCAGCTGCTGTTAAGACTGACGTACAACAGCTGGATGTACAGAGGTGAGGAGAAAAGACGGAATAAAGAAACGCTGCTGGATGTTTGGTGGTTGAATAAACTTCACTTCACCATTCCTGTCCATTAATACAGATACATGCAGTAGTATAATGTAATACAGCAAGTTTAATGAAGTTTTATTAAATATTTACTTAAAAAAATAACCAATTTATCTCAGTAATCTCAGGCACCTACACTCCTGTCCAGATGGTGGCAGTAGTGCACCGTAAATGTGTTTGCCAGCAGCTTAGTCGTCTGACTTGAAGCTGTAGTGAACAGTGTTCAGACAACGGTTAAAACAGCCGAAATAAAGACGTGGTTGTTTGGAAACTGAGCAGCAGAGACTTGTAAGTTAATATATTTATTTATTTACTCCACACAGCGTTTCTAGTCAGAGGTTTGACCCCAATACAAAGCGCTGATGCTAGTTAGCTTTAGCCGACGTTAGCCAAACATTATCAACGACGGTCATGGTGTAGAAGGCATGGTGTGGGGAAGGCAGATGGAAATTTAAGGTAAATATAGATTTTTAAAAAGTTTTTTGAGTTCATATTGATTTTTTAATGCAGTTCAGATCCAGAATTAATTGAAATGTAAAACCTTTTATTTTGTCAAATCTTATTTCATAAGAATTAACTTTATTAAGATACAAAAATTCTTCCTGAGATTTTTTTTATTAAACACTTTTTGGGGGGATTTTTCAGCAAACTCTTGATTTTGCTTGTCACGTTGATCAAATGTTGAAACATTTTGATGAAAATGTTTGAAAAAAAAATCAAAATGTTATCTTTTCTGCCTGTTTCTCACCAAATGAGACGACTTCTTAAATCTACAGGATTGACTTTGACCTGAAATCCTTCTTCTTTTTTTTTTTTCATCTAATGATGAAAATCCAACGATCTGATTGTGTTTGACTCTCAGGTGACGTCCTGGTCGAAGGCTTTGAGACGAAGCAGAGCAGCTGTGTGACCATCCACAGCCAGTTCTACTTCACCAACACCACCAACTCCTACAACATGCTGCAGGACTGTGGAAACTGCTCACGGTGAGTTCCTCTCAGCAGAACATATCTGTTCTCCGGCTCTTGTAGTTTACACTTGCAGCGTGTGGACCACCACGTTCTCCTGTCGTTCCTCCGTAGGCTGTTCCACGCCAAACGCATCGACAACACCAACCTGCTCTTCGTCGTGGCTGAGACGTTGCCCTGCAGCTCCTGTGAGATCGAGAGACTGACGCAGGTCAGGACAAAGTGTATCCTCACACACACACACACACACAAACTCAAAGGCTTTTCTGTGTGTGTGTGTGTGTGTGTCTGTCAATGTGTGTGTTGAAGTTGAGAAGATCATAATTCCCTTAACTGAAAACAAACAGTTCAAGAGGAGAATCCATGTGAAGTGCTGAGTAACGCACGGTATCGCAAAGGCCCGAATACCTGCTTTGACTACAGTGCCTTAGTAAGTATTTGGTACTTTTGCATCATGCCTTAGTAAGTATTTTATTTTATTTTATTTTATTTTTAAGCCTAAAACAGTTTGTGCTCATCTGTCTAAATATTCATTGCTCATCAGTTCTGTACCTTTTTTCCCTCCTTTCTTTGCAGGAAAACACGTCAGAGTGTGGACGAGGTTTTTCTCTGCAGGCTTCCGTCGGCCTCCTTCTCTGTGTTCAGCTTCTTCTGCCTCTGCTTCATCTCTGACTATGTGCCATCAACATCATCTCTGTGGGTTAAGGTTCAGATCTACGGAAGGGTTAGCTTGACGTCAAGAGCACAAACCAGAGACGGTAACCCCCGCCCCCCCCATCCCCCCACCTGAATAAGCTGACGCTGTCTTCACGGAGGTACTGCTTACTTTTATTATTTACTGCTTCGGTTGTTATTTCAGCAGTTGTGGGGGGAGACTTTGTGGGGGTGCACTTTGAGTAGGTCAATATTCAGGGCAGAGTTTGAATGTTTGAATGTGTTGGTGTCACGATAGAAAATGTTAAATATTTTGTTGACCTCTTCACCTCACTTAAACCGGCCTCTTCTCGACGTACGTATCAAAGAAACTTGGGATAAAGATTTAGCCTCGCCAATATCTGATGAGGACTGAAAAAACCTGATGCTGATGTTCATAAATGCTCATTGGTTGCAGTACTCGCGTACTAAACTCTGTATCCCCAATCTGCTCAAAATGCAAATCAGCTGCGGGAACTCTGGGTCACCTCTTTTGGTCAAACCAGTTTTGGTCTGATATTTCATAAATGCAATATTCCTCCAGACCCACGCGCTGCAGTCCTGAAAACCGTTCTTACTATATCAATCAAGAATAACATAAAAGCAACCTCTCACTTTCTGCCAGTGTAACTTTAAAATATCTGACTGGTACAGGTCGTATAACAAAGTACGTATTATTTTTGAGCAGGATCTTTCTTTTTCTCTCCTTTACTTTTCTTTCTTTTCTTGTTTTATTATTTTTTATATACCTATAATGTATATTAATTGTAATGAGCAGTTTTGCCCATTTACACTTGTTCATTCTAATTCTTTATTTTGATTTTGTTTTGGGTGTGTTTCCTACCCTGTTTTTATATATTGAAAAGTTATATATATAAAAAAAAAAAATATATATATATAAAAAAGAAATCGTTAAATATTTTACAGTAAGTCTTAAATATTAGTTGTTTAAAGAAGTTGGTTTTTTTTCCCCCCAACATCCAGACTTTTCTGGTCAACCTGTCCCTGTGAATGGAAGATGTAGATTAGAAAAGTTAAAAAAATATATTTGCGCATGTAAATGAAGGCAGCCTCGTACAAACGACCACACGACGCCCAGATACAGCAATAAAACGCTGCAGTTTCTTAAGACAAAAGTCAAATATCAGTATTGAATATTTAATCATAATTTTTATTTAGGACGAACTCATTGTATTAAAATAGGGTTTTTTAAACTATAATATATTTCCACTATCCATGTTTTTTATTTTTATTATTATTATTATTTTTTTGCATGTCCGTTGCTGGTGAATAAATTAGCAGAGAGGATGAAAACTGTTACCTGCGACACTAGATCTGGGCCTGAACCTCATCGTCATTTCAGTGTCTTCTGACGCGTTTGTTTCTGGTCATATATTGATCATCCATAAATAATGACAGGAGCCGGCGTGATTTTTCTACTGCCGTCGCTGAAACCTTCGATCTTTTGGCCCCAGATTATTTTCTTAAAGCACTTAACCTGAGGAGAGACATTTAGACACGCGTTAATAATAATAAAAAGGACGGAGACCAGAGTTTTATTGGTGGAGGGAGATTTTGGGAGGGGCTTTGGGGTGAGGGGGGGCGTGCGTCTACAGATGAAAACCTGAAGTGCTTCCAGGTAGACTTGGATTTCTGAAAAGATTTTAAAAAACAAAACAAAAAAAAATTCACAGGTTATTAATTTTGTGAAGAAGTTGTTTTTTCTCAGTTGAATGATTTAAAACAGAATCGACTGAAATGTTTACAGGAAGTGTCGTCTCCACAGTCACAGCAGCTGATGTCGTTTTACAGCCAACAGTGTTTCTGTATTGAAATTCTTTTTTTTTCTCTTATAATATTAATATTTGTCCATTTTGAATTAATGCACTTAAATATGCTTGATTATGGGGAATGTAGCTTCTTACAGTGTTGTAAGTCAATTATTCCGGATGTTTCTCTGTGACAGAACAGATGGATGTAAATACTTACGGTTGACAATGACAAAAAAAAAAAAATCAAAAAATTTTATCAAAACTAGAGTGGAATTAAAAAAAAACCCATTTCAAAAAGTTGGTGCACTTTCTGAACATGAAGGAACAGGAACTGGGATTCAAGCACAATCATCAATGTTTCAGTGATGAAATTTAATTTGTTAAATATTTGTAGGAATAAAAACCTGCGACACAAATGCACAAACTGAGATCTAGGAATTTTTAAAAATGTATTTGCTGAATTAAACATGAGCATTTTCCCATGGATGCTGCAGAGAGAGAGCAAATGTTTTTGTTCAGTGTACCAACTTTCCACAAATGGGTTTGTGTTAGTTTGAATGTAGGAAGACAACAGTACGGTCACTGTACGCGTCGTACATTTGTCACAGTTACTTGTCAACGCTGAAGTCTGGTTTCCCAGTAATTGTAGTAATTTATAAAAAAAAAAAATGTGTTTTTTAAAAGAGCGTTGTAAAACCTGTTTATAAATCCTTGTCTGCCTGTTTCTCCACCCTGCTGTGCCTTGTTGCACTTGTTTTGTGGACGACAGGAACATTGTCAATCTGAGCTGCCAACATCCTTCCTGCGGGGTGTGCTGAAGAGTCGCGAAAGTCAAAGACTGCATATATATATATACATATATACATATATATATATATATATATATACATATATATATGATAGAACTGATAGAGTTTAAGAAACGTGGCAGATTGATTGGTGGAGCGTCTGGCCTTCCTTCCTACTTCCTTCTCTACTGGACAGAACAAACCCTGCTGTATTCCTGCTCCGTGTCGTTTCTCTGCTTCTCTGTTTCTCTCTGTTTTTCCGTCTTGAACCAAAGCACAGACTTTGTCCGTTTCCACTGATTTCTAACTGTCTCTTTTACTTATTCAGTATCGCTTCTGTGACACTGCCTGGAAAATGTCCTTTTTTTTTCCTTTTACTCCGACTGACAAAGTGAGAGAATGTTTATGTACGATTTTTGTTTGTTTGTTTGTTTTTCTCTGCTGTGTATCTCAGCTGTCTCCCAGCATGATGGGGACCTGGAGACACAGAGTAAAGTGCAACACTCTGTGTAGACCTCCAAAAAAAAACAAAAAACAAACAGACACGACACGACAGCAACACAAAGCTGCTGCTCTTTGACCTACAGTATTTTCCTGGGGTCTCCCTACATTACCCAGACTGCTTTGTTGTACGTTGAGGTTAAGGCACTTTGTGGATTTCCTGCAGCCTAAAATATATACCCACTATTGAGGTCGGTGTTGTAGTATTGTTTCTAAATACTGTAGTAGTGATTCTCGTTTATTTGCATGACACTTTTGAACAACTTGCAGATGCGTGTACATAGTCCGGAGGATGTCACACTGTACATTCCTGTGTTCAGCGCCGTATGTTTGGTGCTGAGGCCTCAGAGGTCTTTGAAGTGTACAACGAAGTGAAGCTGAAAGTTTGACTTCAGTGAAGCCTACTATAGCAGTCAGTGTTTGCGTCGGAGGTGCAAAAAGCACAGTTTGAGCAAAAGTTTGAGCTAAGAGCAACATACTGCCTGATCCAAGGTCCGTCATTTATTTATTAAAACCGCTGGCAGTGGCTCCGCGCTTCTGAAGGCTGTAAAACAATGAAACAAAGCAGTGGCATGTGCGGGAATGCCTCTTTAATACTTCAGTTTGTTCTTGAATTAGGTTTGAGTGTTGCTTATTTCACTCCTATATGTATTGTTTTATTTATTTGTTGTTTATTTAGTGTATTGTGTGTAAATCTTTGTGTTGAATAGAATGGAAATGAATGTTATTGAAGCTAACAAGGGCAGTTTAAAAAACAAAAACAAAAACCATCTATTATCTATGATCTTATTTCCTGATGATCGTGTTATGAGAATGTAACTGCTTTGCTGCAGCTTGTTTTTTTTAAAATTCATTTATTTATTTTTAAATTTGCTGACAGTATCATTTAGTCAGGACAGTTTTCTCTCTGTGCCAGTCTCCTAATTCCACCTCTTTTTTTTTTTTTAAAGATGATGTGAAGCAGTCAGCACCAAATGAAGGTTGAATTTGTAAAGATTTTGTCAGCCACATTACAAAATGAATATTTAAATGTTTCTATCTTTGGTGATTAAATGCTATTGATATTTTTCACTTCAATATGAACCATTATTTTTCTCCTTAATTTTCATCAAACTAATGAGATCGACACACCTAAAAATCTATCAAAATGTTGTAATTTGGTGAGAAACATGCAAAAAAGATAAAATCTTGAATTTTTTATTTTGAAAAATTTACATCAAAATAAATTCTCAAAAAGGCATAATGGCCTAAATATGTTAGTCTTTCAAAAAAAAGTTTTTTCCTAACAACTTTCTCAACTCAAATTTTTTTTCTAAAAGATTTTCTAAAGATCTTTTCAAAACACTTTTTTATTAGAATCTCGCAAGAAAGATAAAATTCTGTAAATTTTTTTCAAAGATTTTCAACATTTTTTAACATCCGAACAAAATTTAAAAAAAAAGTTTCAAAAATTTTTTTTTAGAAAATTTTTTTTCTAAACATGTTCGGAAAAAAAATTTTATGAAATTTTTCTAAAAATTATTTTGAAAAATATAAAAAAAAAAATTTTCAGAAAATGTTTAGGAAAAACATGTTTCAGAAAATTTTTCTTAAACATTTTCTGAAAATTTCTAAAAAAGATTTCTGAAAATTTTTTTTTTTTTGAAAAATATTTTCTTTTTAATTTCATGGATTTTTTTAAGGCGTGTTTTGGG